TTTTTTATCTTATTTAACAAGGTTGCAAGATGAACGAGACTGCTATAGGAAATAAGTTAGTCGAACATACATAATATATATATATATATATATCATGAATATTTTTCATTTTTTGGGATAAAAGTTACCGTAAACAGAATTTTCCCCTTCAGAATATTGGCATGTTCATGATATGGCGACAACCAATCGTTAGTGGTAGACACGTATAGACGTGATTCTCACGAGACGCTTGGATGCGTCCACAGCTATTTTTCATTCAGTAATACTCCGTGATTACACTGCCAAGACATTGACACACACATGGGACCTTACGAAGCAAAGCGCATTTCAATAATAAGGCCACGTCGTTCCTAAGTGGGATTTCTGTTGATGTAGACTGCGAAGATTCAATTAATGTTATTCGCACTAATTTAATTTGAACAAATCTCGTATTTTATTATGATTATTTATTTATTTATTTATTCATTTATTTATTAAATCATTCAATTTTATGAAGTTCAAATTTATTTCATATTACTTTGATGAATTGCAAATAATGAATTATTTACCCGGATGTTCTTGATAGGGCTATTAATTACAAGTATACATAGCTATTTTTAGATCATTGCTTGACAGCGTTTATAGCATTATAATATAATAAAATATTTATTTCATTCGAAAAGGGAACAGATCAAGGTGCAAATGCCCTAGTAGTGCGAATAGCCAGCGGCATGACACCGTAGATTCCAACAATAGAAGAACAACTATTCTCATGGTTAAGTAGGGGTTGAACGACAACACGTCGACACTATGCCAATAGCATGATTTGTCTTGATAAAAGTTTCGACTGCACAGCTGGGTTACGAGAGTTCTGGATTATCGAGCGATGTGCTCACTTCAATGCTGATATAGGTATATGGGTTAAGCGTTGAGTTCACGCCAGTGCACGTGTGACGTCTGTTCCTGCTTCATGTTGAGAAATAACCGGAAGTCAGTCACTATGTATTTCCGGACTGCATTCAAGAAGGTGTTGTAATGATATAGAGACAGTCACAGACGTACATTCTCCCAGGATCGTGGATATACGATAAGTAAATCATGGTAGAAATACAAACGACAACAAAATCAGTAATTTTGACTACGAATTTAATACTATAGTTGAATAAAATAGTCAAAAACAATTAGTGAAACAGTCACAGTAATTTATATTTAATATATACACTGGTACATATAATGGGTTGTGTCGTAGCAACTTGGAACCAAATATATTTTCGTAGAATAGTAACACGACATTAGTGTTTTACGACCATGTCACAAAAGCATGGGGCAAATAGAAAAAAATATGAAAAATGGCTGCAAATTGCTCACAGTCAATTGCCACAAAAAACATCAGTCTTTTCAGTGTTTTGTTTAATTAAATCGGCCATGACAGGGCAAATAAAATCTTAAAACATATTACATGCATACCGCAGGGCGTGTGTATTGTTCAAAAACATAATCGTCACCAGTTGGCCACTAAGTTTGAGCATGGTCCAATACATCGTTTGTACGGTGATGTCTTGTTAGTTTGACGCGGATGGACGAATAAAAGGGCGATGGCCGCCCGGACGGCCACTAGAGCGCTCATTAATCTCAAATACCCACGCAGGTTTCGCACGTACTGAGTGATAACGGTCAAACAATGCAAGGGGGGTGAATTAAGCGAACGTGCACGAAGTCACGTGACTAAGAGAGCAGCCACGTCATTCAAGTAATTTAGATATATATGTCAACACTCATAGTAGTTAAAGGGGTATGACGTAAGCAACACAGACCTATCGAACTCTGGGTACAGAGATAAAATACTTATATCTTGCTAATATAATACTAATTTGACTTGCAAATCAAGATATTAACATCTTCACTGTGAATTGACGAAATGAGGTATGACCGCTACACGTATTAACGGACAAAACAAACCATCAATAGTAACAGTGACAATATCATAGCCAGGGATTTGACAAAGATTACCCGACATATATTTAAGTTAATAAAGCGTTATAAATCTAGCGAACTTCCGAAACGCCCTGAGCACAGTTTCCGTGCCTATGCTTACTTCAAGAACTACACTCAGTCTGCAAAAAATAATACGAATCTGACAAATGTGTAATTTTTACCTCCAATCCACTCATGACATAATGATAAATTTGTCAATCTACTGTATAACCCTTGTGGGCAAACATATTTTTCACCTTCAATCAAAGTATTAATTTCCCTGAAGCAAAAGTTGTACGCAATTATTTTTGCGATACCATTAACCCGATATATAACACTCCATTCAAAATGAAAGTCTACACTGTTTTTCTATTTTGCTTCCAAACAGAATAATCGATCATATACATGTATAACTCTCGAAATATTATATTCAAAACTAGTGTCTCATTCGTACTTTAAATTACGTCACCGATGTTCGATTACGTCATCATTCCCGAGTCCGTAGATACTTAACTTAGCATTAGCAACGCCCATTGTTTGACGAGTGTTTGTTGTGTTAAATTTCATACACTTACTTGCCAAGCAAAACCGCGGATTTGATAATGTTACATTGAAAAGCACTGATGGTTTCCCTCAATATCTGCCGCAGAAATTGCGGAAAGGGGCATTAGATTTACGACCACAAACTAATTCACCCAGATACTCCATTAAACAGTGATTTATAATAAAACTATTTTATTGATTAGGTCAAGTCACCTCTACTTTACCAACACTTGGCTTTTCCGATATTATAATACACTCCCTTTCGTTCCATTGCTCCTTTTAATCTAATTTAGCAATACAATTATTATATTATGATATAGTCTTTGTTTACACAGAACGTACAATCGTTTTGAATTATAAATTACTGCAACAAAGAAAATAGAGTCATTGTGACTGTGGGCAATTTGTAAAATCTTAATGGGGCTTGTTTTTTTTTATTAAAGGAAATTAAAACGACATACAGGAAGTATGCGAATGGCTCACGTTATAGTGATCGTGGATATTAAAATTGTGTATCAGTTATATATTTAGCTTGACTTGCGATGAAAGGCTGGTTTACGTGACACAGACTAGGACTGACTGAGTAGACGAAGAACTGGCAATATTCCTAACATACATAATTACTTCTTCGCGGACATTTGTTCATCAGAAACTGCAATGTTCTGTTATGTTATTAGTAATATGTAATATGTTACGAAACTAAATAAGTCATTGTCAGTTTCAGTTGAAAAAATGTTGACCACAGGTACAGTTATAAAAATTCATAAACATATGTTAAATATTATGAAGGAGAAACGTTAGGCTAAACAGAAAATAGATTTACTTTAGTGTGAGGTTATTCAAAGAGATTAGATTTTTACAAACACTTAAAGGGTAAATACCAAAGAAACTTTCTTACACTAAGAAGAGGTCTAGAAGTCAGTAATTATGTCCGTGGGTCGTGCATAGTGCTGAACTTTTCCCCGGTTAAATACAACATAAAATTATGCTGTGATTCGAAATGGTCAAAGCACAACAAGTGGCATCTTCTTTGGCACTTCGTAACTCGTAACTCGACCGTGACCAACAAATTACCAAATAACATTAATCGAAAAGGATGGAACAAGAGTCAGACTAGTCAATGTCTGTTATGTGAGAATCATTGAAGATAATTGCACATGTATTTCAAATATAAACGAGGAGCGCGATTTTGGAATGTGGTCAAACAGCTACTAAAAAAACTATAAGATTAGAATATTGTAAATGCCATTTGTTGATTAAAAAAACATGCGTGTCGTCAAATCGCATCACGCACTATACAAATTAAAACATGCATATAATTAGTCCACATTAACCACTCCACCGTTTACGTTGTTCGACTGCGGAAAAATGCATGCGATATGCACATGACACTTCGACAATTAAGTTTGACGTCGGTAGACAGTCTGTGGCTCGTTTTGATACACAACTCTGGCAACAATCAAACTGAGAGAAAATAAAGTAGAATTAAATATAATTATTATTATAGCTGTGTACGTAATTGTAAATTTTCCATTCACATTCAGGTAACAAGTCAGTGTAAGAGTTTGATGGCTTGATGATTAAATAAATGTTTGAATTTGACAAGTGGAACATATTACCTTGTTTGAAATCATTGTCAAAATATCGATAAAACATTTGTACAAGGCTATCTTGTGTACATTGTAGAAGTGTTTCCTTCTCCCCCATAGGGTCCGAGGAAATCTTCGCGAAGAGTAGTGATACAATTTTCGCCCGATTAATACAGCATTCCTACTCTATGTATGATCATGATATTTATCGGAATATTCAATGATCCAGTCTAGATTATATTAGGATTATGCATGGTCGCGACAATAGCTAATGGTGGTCAGATATATCACCTTTTCTTCAAGGAAGTTAGGCCTCGCGGGAAAAGAACAAAAAAGTCGTAAAAACACATTAAAACAAATATTAAAGGCTACGTCGATTGTCTTCTCTGTTTTCTGCATGTTTGAAATTATTCATTGTTCTGTGTGCTTAATTATTTTTTGGCGGGAAAAATATTATCTGGCAGCATTGTTGTTGTCAGTGATAAATTCAGACAGAATGACTCAGTATTAGTCTTAAACGAATATTTGGTACCTAAAAATAAATCGATGTAGTTCTAGTTGTACAGTCAACATTTTCTAAATCACTAATTCGAACGACTAGATGAATGGGGAAACACGTTAGCGTTCTGCTATTACATAAGAATTCTAAACGATTCGGAGATTGTCCAGTAATATCGATATTGATTATGTATCATTTTAAATTTTTTTGCGCAGATGATAATTGTTACATTTTTTGCGTGAACTAAAGTTGTTTTTAATGCTGTCTGGTGATGTCATTAATCACGTGTTCTTGGATCTGCGATAACATTTTAGAGACAATCCATCGCCCCCTTGGCAATACATGCAGCTTTTGAAATATTAATCACAAAATTGCATTTGTTTTTAAAATCTTACGAGATGTTATCATGAACTTACCAGTGAATTTGACCGTGCAGCGTCTTCGTTCACTTCACTGTGGACACCGTGGTAGTACGTCGGAACGTTCTTGAAGTCTGAATAGTCGAAGGGAGTTGTTACGTGCGACGACGATCGGTGGAACGGTCGCGGTACTCGATTGTGTTGGCTCGCCGATCCAGCACTAGCGTTAAATGCGATCGCGGAGAAAGCGAGAAGGAAGTATGTTGCGTTCTGCATGGTGCCAGGAGACCAAGTGTACGCGTAAATTGCCGTATGCCATATATCCACAACCGAAGACGTACATAAAGAACACGTGGGCGGACTGTACATCCTCGTCCCATGACGTTCTTTTTAAGCAGCCGTTGATAGGTGCAATCCCTTGAGATGCTGGCTGTCACAACGAATAAGAATTCGACCTTTGAATTGGAGGAAATGATATCATGAACGGCTTTTGAAGGCTCGTTCGCGAGTATAATCTAAATCCTTGCAACATCGAAGGCAAGGAAGTCGTAGGTGGTAAGGGCCCTCGCACAATGTCGGATGACATTTGAATGCGGTCTTAGTTACTAAGGTTCAGATTCCATGTCGAATTTGCATCAAAAAAGAGCTGTTTTCTATCTAGAATAGTGTCCACGACTCCGTATACAGAATCCTTCTCTGGAACTACAATGTTAAATGGAGTACGGACATAAATGCCTGAGGATTTAAATAATCGATTCAACATACACTAACATTTTACTGATCAAAAACGCAGGGCTGTGAATGCACATTCATCTTGTTTAATTCAAATGTCAATGGATAACAAGTTCACCTGCATAATAATAGTGTGCCCTTCACGTCAATACTCACGGGTAGAAGGCTCATTGTTAAAAATCTATACACAAGTTTGCATATTGTAATATACGCAACGCAAATAGGATACTTCTCATTTATCCAATACCGGAGATTTTCGAGCGCGTCAATTTGATATTACCATTCAGGACTCGTATATTTGTATTATACAACCATGTCACTGTATTACACATAATGTGTAGAAAATAGAAGGTGGTAATCGTAGACTTTGGTAATTATTCAATACAACCAAGTGTTTCGGGCGATGGATGGTTTTCATTGGAATATCTGAATCACGAATCAGGATCTCTACTATTTCAACACACGAATCTGAGATGGTTATTTATACATATTGCTATTCCTATTTGTTCTTAGAACTATGATTGGGTATGTTATAATCAGTACAGGCAATTTTAAAAAATTATAATATAGTTATTCCACGCCACACCACACACATTAGAATGCATAGTTGTTCTGATCCACGTACGTATATTTTGAGAGTATCCCAATCATTTTTTTTTTCATGCTGGCAAATGTTAAATTATCTCACTAATTCAACAAATCACTAAGTAACGAAGTAACGTAAAATAAAGGTGTATATAGTCTTTTGTCACGTGTGTTAGTTGAATCCAACGCATATAGGCAGCGTACAGGCAAAGATACTTTAAATTCCATGATTATTTTTTTTTCGTCTGAATTTAAATACTGAAATATATCAGATATAAGGGAATACGAATGTCCATTTACAACTGTGTAGTATTTATGTTTTGAATAACTGAGTAATCACAATGGAAAAATTATGAACAGACACGAAAGACTTACATTGACATACAGATCGGTATGCCGATACAATTTTTGTGATTTGCAAAATTGAGAAAACATCAACTTTTGAGATATCAAATTATTTGATCGAACGACTTACTGGAGTCTACAATCGGTATGTTTACATAGCAAGGCGCAAGATGGATACTGACGTCGGACGTCACAAGACGTCGGAAATTTAAATCCTGCACTATCACTCGCACACCCAAGCAGACGTAGTTTGCAGTTTTAGTTGAATGCGAAATGGCAATGACGTCACTGTATCGTTTCATTGAAGTACTCACTCAGTATGACCGCGGGAAATAGAGGATCACGCATCACATATTCTTGAGCGTCAGTAGCGTCGGGCGATAAGATGAACCAAAACAGCCAATGGGAATAACGTCTGCTTTGTTTTTTTAATGATGCAAATGGCCCAGATAAATTACACACGGCATGTCGGGAGTCACGATCAAGTGCAATTTGTAATTACCCTGTTGTTCAAGTTACCGATCATGTAGCGCTGTTCTAAAGAGACATCCGCCCATTATTGTCGACGACATTCGAACTGTTCTTCTGTTAACGTAAATTATATTGCAATTATGACCACTTTACAAAGCCGAATGACAGCGCGATTGCCAAAGCTGGGAGTACGGTGTATATTTGAAACACCGAAGTATTAAGGGCATTGAAATTATCATGTGTATTATTACCAACGAAATTTACGCTTTAGTGTTGACGCGGGGCCCAGGCGAACTAATTGTGGTTTTGGTTGATATATTTTAAATCTCTGTTGTACGAACAGTGCTTGTCAAAGCTCTGATACATCTGCGATTGTTACTCAAAAATATAACAATTCTAACTGGGCCTGCATTGCTTGCGTTGCCGTTTTTACTGCAAATGCAACATTTATAGTTTATAATACATTGTATTTTGAGTATTCAAAAACAATATTGAAACATTATATTATTTCCCTTTTAAGTAGTCAATACATGTAAATGAGCTCATAGAGGAAAATAAAATGAGTCAATAATAACCTATACCTCAATTATAAATTCTTTGCTACCAATCAACCATTATAAAAACCTTCTATATATTGAAACTGCCATTATCGTAACGTTACGTATTACATAATCTTACTTCCATCCTCTAAGCGATCACCGGGTTGAGTCAAATTGCATTAAAGTGAAAATGCGCCACAGTCGTCGCGACAATACATTGTTCACGCGGAATTTGAACACGTGACAATTGGTGCGTCACGGTGTCGGTGTACCGTATTCACGCTTGTCATTTGGAAATCATAGTGATTCCGTTGCATTTGCATACAAATCATGTATATTATAACCACTATTACCAGAAGGACGTTTTGTTGAAATCTCAAAACAAGTGTACTCTTCGATATATTAATCGTTTACTTAGCTCTAAATCGTCGTAGTGTAAAATCACTGTGTTATAAAAAAAAATTTCTCATTTCTCATTGTGAGTATATAATCATCATTCCAAGTCTTGGTGTATTGTCAATGTTAGGTAAGTATTCACTTATAAAACAGATGGGCCTAAAATAACTACCTGCTTCAGAAATTGTTGATTGATTGATTTGAATAATGGGCGATCATGTATCATATAACACATATACGTTTGAATCATTATATTGTTCGTATTATTTATAATGATGCATATAGTGCAGTTACATGCACAGCATCACAAACTTTTAATTCGGTGCGCACGCCTTAGGAAAATTAAATAAAACATAACAATTGGAAAATTAAGAACAGATAAATGATCATCACCTTTATTATAGGTTGCGCCCTCTAGTGACAAAGCGACGTAAATGAATGGCACGAAACGTTCAAATTGTCGATATCGTTTTGATTTGTAATCGTCCATCCAAAGAGACAGATTTTACCACGTTTTAAATGACAACGACTACACAGCAGAACACTGTTGTCTATTTGAACGAAATTGGCTTTACCTACATACGTCGTTTTGACGTCATCACAGAATAGCTCCGTCAGACAACGGGGTGTATAGGAATGGTGTATTAAATACTGCATTGTAATCACCGCGCTAAGGATGTGTGTGTGATTAACACTTAAACCTACTGTAATCGTTATATTTCATATTCACTCGTTGAAGTAGGGTAAAACATGACGATAATAGACTGATAGAATAGTCTATTGAATTTAGCGAAAATGCTTTGCCATACATTGTAAAGAAGAGAAAATCTTTTTCGAAGATAAAATAATCCCGGTACTTATGGGAATGTATTCAGCGGATAATCCTTGAGGTAGCGACAATGCGTAAAACGAGAAAATTGTTAACAAGTTTTGCATTGTTCTTTTTGTAATTTTCGTCTATTTTCAAACCCAGTTGTGGGTAAATATTCCACTGTACATATACTCTCCCACAACTGAGTAATGCACTAAAGAAAATGGATTTAATTTGCAATCTATAATAAAAGTCCTCGTAGGTGAGATATATACCTGTATAGTAATGAGATCTTGAGTTGCGAACAACAAGTTACAAAAATAACCACGCCCATATTTTAACTCGGTGTTCAATTAACAGATAACAGAACTTCCAGTTACGGGCAACATTCAAATTTAGTAACTCGAATTTTAATTAAACGTTAACGGAACTTCGAGGTACGTGAAACATAAATCGTGTTAAACAACACGAAAAACATATATCATGGCAGTTTGGTGTATATAATAATTTGTATTTCCCTATCACTATGCGATAATAATCTCATCATCTGATTGATCCGTGCAAGCAAATTAACCTTTTGACATCATACTTGACTATCGTAAAATATTACAATTTCCCAAGATACTGATAGTTTTACACTATATTGTTTTGAATTATTATTAATAATTAATTCAGGTAGTTTCAGATGTCGGCTGAAATGTGTGTGTGTTTCAAATCCCGCATACATATGAGGCCCCATTTGATAATCTCCAACTTTTCCGCGCACGTAAATTTGTTTAACCCGTGCCTAGAGGCGATTTGCCAGGCTGTATGAAGCGACCACGGTTTAACTGATTACAAAATTAGTAGTTACGTAAGCAATGCATCTCAAACTGTAATAATAATGACTCTAAAAATTCCTAATCGCAATAGGGTAAACTAATAGTGAACCGTGGTCGTGCACAGCGATCGGGTTACGCAAATGAGCCAAAACATTCTTGAATTTGAAGGTGTAAAGCCCCGCCATTGCCCGATCCCAAGTCCAATGAGTAAAGGACGAGGGTTTTGAGTAGGGCTGTCTGATTCAAGTAGTTTTTGAAACATGTAATGAAATGCTCGCTTTGACCATGTATTAAGAAACAAATTCCAAGTTCTGGAGGATACACCAGCAAATGACGTCAATGATGTGTGCAACAACTCACAGAAAAAAAAAACTTTCTGGGAACCAGCCAATATTTACAAGGACGAATTAAATAGTCGGTCTTGTGGATGTAAAGTTGGAGTATGCATTGTCAATAATTTAATTTATGTGCATAATAGTGGCCTTTATTAAGGGTATACGTAAACTTATTCGTGTTTAAGAGCTGTATGCCAATGAACATATTTGGAACATTCAGAAATCAAAATTAATGTACTTTTATAGTCACGATATGCTGCATCATATCCCAACAGCGCAGTTATGCAGCCAAAACGTAGAACTAGTTGATCAGTGTATTCACTTAG